GTAGGATCCCTAGTGGCTGCTAGCTGCTGGCTGGGGCCTCCTTTCCCCTGGCTGCCTGCTGCCACTGCTGCCACCACAGGCGGCCAGGGCAGGGCCAGCAGGGGTGGGGGGCGGGTGGGAGCAGGAGGGGCCAAGAGCAGTTGGCCAGCCCCATTGACAGTAGGGGAGGCTATGCATGTGTGGGAGCCGGGGTATATGGGAAATCTCTACCTTCTCAATTTATTGTAAATCTAAAACTGCTCTTAAAAATTAAGTTTCTTTAAAAGTGTACTTCATATAATTAACCAAAAAAGTAATAACTTTTTCTAATTTATTTTGCAGAAAATGAAAAGGGACAATATATATCTCCATTTCATGATATTCCAATTTATGCAGATAAGGTAAGGTGTTCTTATCTTTTGAACCCAGTCTCTTTACTGAGGTTAGATAGTTCCACATATGGCTTGGCCTGGAGCCACCCGCTCACCTTCTCCACCATCCTGCTGCAGTCCTGCTCTCATCGGGGCCCACTGGGGCCGGCAGCACCTCCACTGCCGCCCGCTGCCAGTGCTGTGTCACTGATGCCTCCATGTTCCACGCTGCCCCCTGGTGGTCAGCACACATCATAGCGAGCGGTCGAACTCGGGTCAAACACCCTGTCAAGGGGACAATTTGCATATTAGGCTTTTATTATATAGAATAAGTTCTTAAAATGCCTCATTGTGCTGTGAGTTAAGGGGTATTGACTAAATAAGAAGTCAATCTTAAATCCAGATTATTCAGTTAAAGAAGCAACTATAACTTGGGGAAGGAGTAGAGGAATAGAAGCAAATGTTTTAAAGCTGCCTCGATTAACAAAAAAAAATCACATTGGTGTCTTTTGTATGTGTATTTGGAACTAAAACCTTAGTGCTCCATTAGTGATTTTAAAATTAAGTAGCCAGCCCAAAATTTGGGCTGTGGAATATTTACTAAATAATAAAAAATAAACTAGATTATTCAGTGAATACAGAAAAATTCAGTACTTTTAATGGACGGTAGAGTTAAGATCTGCAAATAGTGTTAATAAAGGTAAGTCCACAGACTTCTAAAAAGAGGTGCCTGTTCCTGTATATACAGTGAGCCAAAGAAATCTAACTTTAGCACAGATGATAGGCTTACCACAAAATGGAAAGAATCTTTACTTCCCTAGGAAAAAAAAGTCTACATATATTTCAAAATACTCATGATCTTTGGGAAGTAAAATTAATTGCTAGTGACTCTTTTCACTTTTACTTTCATTTTTGCCTTTTTATGTTTCCTAACCTTTTAATAAAGAGCATGCATTATTTGTACAGATTTAAATAGTCATTTAAAAAGAAAACACAGCTTTTTTAGTCTTCTTCCTAATAGAAGTTTGTACTGAATTTAGGAACTGACACAAAAACAAGTGTTTGATTCTTTTCTCTACCTTTAAAACATTTTTTTTCCATTTAATCAAGAAGCTTGATTCACAGTGAGTGCAAATCTTTTGGAGTTGTAAACGCTACATAGGTTATTGAGCTTCTTTAGCTAGATGTCTATACATAAGCATGTGAGCATCATATCCCAGCGCACATCTAGAATACTAGTAAAGATGAAATTTTATCCTTGGGTGTGCTGTCTCACTATTTGTCTGTGCTTGTTTATCAGAGAGAAACAGACGAATTCATTTTACTTCTACCAGGAAGTTAGCTGCAGATTTATATTGACACTTGGACATTGGCAGAAAATCCAACCTGTGTGTTGCTTCCAAGGAGCCTACCTGAGCTGGGGCTCTAACTGGAGGCCGGGGGACAAACAGCCCCAGGCCAATGATGTTACAGGAGGGACCTCTGATTGGCATGTGTTCTCCTGTGGGATTCTCAACATGTATTTACTCACAGACTCTGCGTTGTTACATCTGATTTCCTGGGAGTTGATGTGAACTGCAGGATCCTTCCTTCCTCTTGAATAGGCATCATTTGAATGCTTTTTGTGTAAGTCATATGTATAGCAAAGTACTTTACAGTAACATCTTACACCATTTTGAGTAATGAAGAGGTATAAAGTGATTACCCTAAGTTTATTGATGGCAACTTGGCATACAGATGTACTAAGGAAGAAAACACTGTTTTGACATACAGCTGTGTTGTGTTTTTTATTTTTATTGATTGATTGATTGATTTCAGAGAGGAAGGGAGAGAGAGATAGAAACATCAATGATGAGAGAGAATCACTGATTGGCTGCCTCCTGCACACCCCCACTGGGAATCGAACTGTGACCTCTTGGTTCATAGATCGATGCTCAACTACCGAGCCACACTAGCCGGGCTGTGTTGTGTTTTTTTAAAACAATGTTCCTGTCTTAGTTCATCTGGGCTGCTATAACAAAATGCCACAGCACGGGTAGCATATAAACAGCAGAAATGTATTGCTCACAGTTCTGGGAGCTGGAAGTCCGAGATCAGGGTGCCAGCTCGGTCAGGTGAGGGCCCTCTTCTGGTTGCAGACATCTCAGAGTATCCTCATGTGGCGGAGGCGCCCAGGGTGCTCTGCAGAGCCTCTTTATAAAGTTGTTGGAACTGATCTGGAAAGAGGGTTATTTGGGACTCTCCCCAGCTCTTGGAATTCCAAGTGGGGTGTGGAGGCTGGGGGCTATGTGGAGCCTCTGTTTGAATTTCATCTCTCTAATGGTGAGCATGGCGAAATAAATAAATAAAGGGTGGTCCCTGGCCGGTGTGGCTCAGTTGGTTGAGCATCGTCCCATGCACCGAAAGGTTGCTGGTTCAATTCCTGGTCAGGGCACATGCCCAGGTTGCTGGTTCAATCCCTGATTGGGGTGCGTATGAGAGGCAACCGATCAATGCTTCTCTCTCTCTCCCTCTCTTTTCCTTTCTCTCTAAAATCAATAAAAAACATATTTTAAAAAAATGCTTTGCTCTTGTACCACCCAAAGGCGGCTCAAAAGCACAAGCTCTTCCAACAACTCTGTATTTCGCCAGTGGTCTATTCCTCAGTGAACTTCAGTACTTCAGATTACTGCCTGAGAAACAGGAAAGAGTTCCTTTGTTTCGTTTTTAAGGAAATTCACTGTGTACAAAATGAGTAAGGGTGTGGTACACATAAATTATTTTGGATTATAGCCTAAGTAAAATAACAGATTGATTCAATTGGCTACAGAAGAGTGTGATTTTAAAAATATTTCAACCCTAATTGGCCTGCAGACTGAAGGCATAGGTTTGATTTTGGTCAAGGACATGCAGGCTGACTGAAGGGTCATAGGTTTGATTCTGGTCAAGGACATGCAGGCTGGATTCTGGCCCCCGGGTGCTTGCCGGAGGCAACCAATTGATGTGTCTCCCTCACATTGATGTTTCTCTGTCTCTCACTCCCTACCACTCTTTCTGAAAATCAATGGAAAAAATATTCTTGGGTGAGGATTAACAACAAAAATTCCAATGTAATTAAATTTACATACATTTTTGTATGTGTGTTGCCATAGGCCTTATACCTAACATAGTTATCCATTAGGCAGATGATAATGAGAGAAGGTACCTTTAGCATTAACACAGTCAGTTCTACTAAGGAAAATGCCGAAAGGATTATCCTACTCCAAGTCAGGACTTTTCAGTGTGGAGAGCATTTGATTTGGGATACATGCCATTAGTCAATCAATCCAGCCAGTTCTGGGAATCATAACTCAGACACGCTGCTTGAATTATTTCCAAATCCATAGGGTACAAGAAGGCAAGGGCAAGGACTCACTGGATTTTTGTTGTTATTTTTTGGTTTGTAAGAGTGTCCTTTGCTCTGGGGTTATTTGAGAATCAAATATAAAAGCACGTGTAGTTCAGAGTGTCTTCTGGCTTAAAATTTCTAAGATACCAGAAATTTTAAAAATATTTTAAAAAGAGCATAAACAATGTGAAACATTGGGTAAATGAAAGCTTTATCTAAATGCAAAAGTATTCAAATATGATTTGATGTTTAGTTTTAGAAGTTTGGTATTTTTCTATTCCATCTTAAACTTTGATGTTAAATACTAGTTTTAACAATATAGGCTTGTTTGCTTTTCAATGACTATGGGGAGCATATGTAAATATGGAACTATGTTTCTTTGCTCTCTTAAAAAAAAGTCAGGATTCTAATTAAATAGGTTGATGCCTGAGAAATATAACTATTTTTTTGCAGTGTGTATCATTCTTAGCTTTTTAAAGATACTATCTCACTGTACAGTGCCCAAAATTTTGAGACTCCTCTATACTACTCAAATGGATGCTTTTCAGATTATTCACTTTCTTAGGGATTGCCTTCTTTTGAATTTTCTATTTCTGTTCCATAAATTGGAGTTGTAAAAATATTACAGAATTAATAACATAAACACTGTTTGTCTTTCTCAGCTTGTTATTTATGTAGAATGGTTGAGTTTTCTGGGTTGTTTTGTTTTATCTTTTGGTTTTGCATTTGCCAAACCAAACTTAGAACTCAAAACATAGATGAAAATTATCACAATTAAACTTAATTGACATGTCATAATTACAATTAAGCTCCTATTTCCCCCCTCAGATGAGCTTTAAGATGACTAAAATTTGAAAACAGCTATTCTAACCATAATTTCTGTGATTTATCAACTTTATAAAAAAATTAATTTGTGCTGATTAAATATGCATATATTGTTCTTGAAGCAAGTCTCAAAACACAATAACCAAACAAATAACAATAAGTTGATTATGTTGACCAGAATGATTGGTTATATCTGAAGACTTTGAGAACTCTATTTTATGGATAGCAAATCTTGATTTGAGTCCTGGTTTTATCACTGACTGGTTTGGTGATGTTACTTTACCTCTGAGCACTTGTTGGTGTTAGTGGAATTTTGTTACATTCTACACTGACCGCTAATGATTCTATATATTTAACTTGCTGTTGAAGTCTTATTAAAGATTTTTATTTCAAAAGTCAAATAATATTGTTAATACTTATTGAACGCTTTCCATACCTTGGGCTCTAAACTAAACCCTTTATGTGGATTATTCCATTTAAACATCATGCCATTCTCTGAGCTAGGTTCTTTTATTAACCCTGTTATCTGGGATCACCAGCTAGAACTCATAAGCAATAGCCAGGCATTCAGGCTCAGAACCCGTGGTCTTAACCACTGAGCTATACTTCTTCCCATGAGGCATGTTTGTGGGTGGATTTTACTTAGTGCCTTTTTGTATTTTCCGCATTCTCTATAGTAAACATCTCTTTGATGATGCAGGAAAGAAAGACTTGCTTAATTAATTTTTTATTTTTATTTTTTTAGCTTAGAATGCAAAGGAAATAAGGGCTTTCTTCCTTTGGGAAGGTTATAAAGTTTTGTAGTTCAGGGTCCTTGGTGGCTCTGAGGCCCTGGAATGGCCATTGGTGGCTTTCTGAGGTTCTGTGAATTCTCTGAAATTGCATTTTGCTATAATGTGCATTTTTTTCCTCAGAAAATGCATATTTATAGTAAATTGTAAATTTTCTAGGGTCAGAATTCTCAGTTGTTGAAAATCCTAGAAAAGTCTGACAACTGAAAATGCAGACTCTTTGCTTGATTTTTTATAAAGAAAAGAAAGTAAAGTAATTATGGTTAAAATATCTGTTTTTAAAATTTAGTCATTTTAAAGTTCATCTGAGGGGACAAAACAAGAGCTTATTCTTAATTATGACATCAATTAAGTTTGTTTACTTTCTATAGGTACACATGGCAGTAGGTATTACCAAATATAAGAGTTTATTGGAACTGCTATAAGTAGAAAATCTGTGTAATTGGGAAACAAATGAGTATTTTTTTTAAAATATATAATTATTGATTTTTTACAGAGAGGAAGGGAGAGGGATAGAGAGTTAGAAATGTCGATGAGAGAGAAGCATCAATCAGCTGCCTCCTGCACACCCCTTAATGGGGATGAGCCTGCAACCAAGGTACATGCCCTTGACTGGAATCGAACCTGGGAGCCTACAGTCCCCAGGCCGACGCTCTATCCAGTGAGCCTTATAGTTTTTATTACTGAAAACATTATTTTTCTTTCATAACCTAGAAACCTAGGTTTGTAAAAAAATATATGTATACATATGTATATATAGGTATATATATATTTCAGAGAAGAAAGGAGAGGGAGAGAGAGAAACATCAATGATGAGAGAAAATCATTAATCGGCTGCCTCTTGCATGCCCCTCACTGGGGATTGAGACTACACTGCCTCTTGCATGCCCCCCACTGGGGACTGAGACTGAGAAAATCATTAATCGGCTGACTGGGAATCAAACCATCACCTTCTGGTTCATTGATCAATGCTCAACCACTGAGCCATGCAGGCCAGACATAGAAACATGGGTTTTTACTGGCAAATATATTTCATAATTTTTTTATTATTTCATAATTTTTTGAAGCATATGCTTCCTCAACAAAGCATAAGAAGTATTTATTAACAGATCCAAATTTGTTTTTTAGCTCTCCTAAAGATTAATCTTAGATCACATGAACCTGAAAAACATTTCTGTTAGTTCTTGTATTTTTGAGAATTTTAGAATAGCCCACTCTTATAAGTGCTTGTTTGTTTTTTAAACCAATTAAGTAGTTTTTGTTTTATTTTTAAAGAAAACACCATCTGGAGGCAGAAAGTGCTACACATCTGCAAACATATGTATCGACACATGAACATGCAAACAGACTTCATGGCTAGCATAAAAGAAGTTCTATTCAAAGGATCTTTACTCCCCACCGCCTCTATCAGCCAGTCCTCCTGCTAGCAAAGTTGTAGATATCTTTTTCTAGTTTTAGTTCTAATTTTCTAACCCTGGCTCCTGCCTCTAGCTGGGTGTCGGTGGCCAGCTGAACCATCCCTAAGAGGGGCCAGCCCGAAGCTGTGACCATATACTTTCCTTCCGGACACAGTGTGTAATGTGTACTTCTTCAAACAAGCATAAGAATGACCAGTGTTTTGGGGGTATCCTTGTACTCACATGGCAGTCCACAGGAATCTAGTGTATGGGCCACCCTTCTCCACATGGAAGTAGGTGGTCAACTGGGGTTTCCCATGGATGCCTTTTTCCTAAAGGCCCGTTTCGTAGGTCTCCTGGCTGGCTCACCACTTGTTACTTACAATTTCCCAGGGCTGAGAGACTAGAGCACGAGGCTGACAACCCTGTCATTACGTTTATTAAGGCACCTGAGATACGAGTGCATCTTGGGAGGTGGCGAGGTGACTTGGATATCCACTGCACCTTCCACCCCCCAGAGTCTGTGTTTTATAGTTAAAAGCACTGAGTCTAGGTGCTGGGAAATAAATGATTGTTTAATGTAAGGGAAGGGGGACCTCCAGGTGCCCAGATGCCTTCATGTCAGAGCTGGTTAAGAGACAGATAAGGTCAGGAGTGGCTCACTACAGAGTTTTGTGTACGTTCCCAAATGGGGTTGGCGGACAGCAGTTGATATGGCAGATTAGCTTCAAGACTGAGTCAGCTCTGTCCACAATGCACAAGATAGCAGTTCTACTTTTAATTTGTTGCGGTACCGCCATTCTGTTTTCCACTAGAGGCTGTGCTGTTTTACTTTCTGCCGGGAGCCGGTCCATGCTTCCTGTTTCAAAGGACCTGGCATATATGGCATACTGTTCTTAATATGTTTGCTCACCTTGGCACTATGTGTTTCAACCAAGGTCACCTCTCCGAGAAAGGTTGTTTCCCCAGGTAGGGATTTTCCCCTGAAGTTAGGGAGGGAATAAAACCCTTTAACTAAGTGCCAGGCGGGTAATTAATCACTTCAACTATGAACAATCATGCTTAAGCTACATAATCTTTACTCCCTGGAATGGAGATAAGAAACGCCCTAACCTTTGGAATAGAGATTGGTAGGATTGGAATCAACTGGTATAAATACAGATGTAACAAGACCACAGGACACAGAACCTAGACACAGAACCTAGAGACAGAACCTAGTGAGAGAACCTGGCTGAAGATCCTAGAGACAAAACCTGGCTACAGAACCTGGATAGAACATGGCAAGAGAACCTGACTAGAACCTGGTGACAGAACGTGGCTGGAGAACCTGGACAGAACCTGGCTGGAGAACCTAGCGAGGGAACATGGCTACAGAACCTGGCTGGAGAACCTGGACAACCTGGAGATCCAAACCAGAACTTCGCTGGAGATCCTGGCCAGAACTTGGCTAGAGATCCTGGCTAGGCTGCTGATCAACTGAACGCGGTATCCGTGTCATTCCTTCTTCGCCGGCTCCGTCCACACCTTTGGGGACCCCTGGACCTGCTAGGGTTGGACCCCAGTAACTTTCCTACCAACTGCACAAGAGTTCCAATGAGAATGCATGTTTTAATAGTAAACATTTTTCTAGCAATGGAATAACTGGTTGAACACTTTTCCTTATGATAATAAAAACTACACATGCACTGCTTTGCTTTAAAAAAAAACACACATGGTAATCACTACAGCATCTACATACACTTGGAAATGTGCTAAACATTCATTTTACAGGCTAGTCTCTCATCTCGGTTTGTGGACCCCAAGCTGTAGCTTGAGGCCTATGGGCCAGAAGGACCTGGTTTGGAAATCCAGCTCTTTAGGGAGTTAAAAACTTACTCTGTTCACTGGTAGTTTTCAGTGCCTAGAAAAATGTCACTTAATGATAGTGCTCAGTAAATGTTCGTTAAAAAATGAATCAATTGGATATGTGGCTCCTTGCAGGATACTCCTTGCTATTTTTGGCCCAGCTAATGTTGTTTGTTTGTTTTTGTTTCTATTAGTTAAGCAGGTTTGTAATATTAGGTAATGTGGTTTTAAAATCTATACATATTTATCATTTAATTCCATTGAAGACTTTGATGTAGTTTACAAACTTTGAATTAATGATTTCAGCTCTATTTGCTACTTTGTTTTCTCGAGGCAATATATTCATTCTGTATATTTTCTTAAAAAAAAATTACCACTGGATTTCCTGGGTTTTCTCATCTCAGAGTAACAGCTCCATCTTGTGAGCCTTTAGGCTACTGCTGTGAAAACTCTAAAAACCCTTTGTTTTAGTATCATAGATTTACAGATCCTACATTTTAAAATACCAGAGTAGTGGGACTAGATAGATCTTGAAAACTATCTCCTTTCTCTGTGGTTTTTATGTTGTTAGCAAGTAGGCATCAGGATGTTTAGAACAAAACACAAGGA